GAAAAATCTAACAAAATCCCCTAAACCACAAAGAGCAGATGTGGTAGAGTCAAGGCTGAAGATCTCAAGGCTAGCCTGGGGGCAGGGGACGCGGATGGGGTGGAGTGGGATGGGGTGGGGTGGTGGTGGTGTAGGGGACAGGGGTCAGGTTACACACATTGACTGTGTCAAAAATGAAAACTAGCCCCTCTGGACGAAACGTGGACTTGCCACCTTCAGTGTGCTCTACAGGCCTTCCTAGTTTCCCGTGACACGTGACCCTTAGCCCAGAAGCCAGGGGCTTGGCACAGCACTGACTTGGTCCCTCTGGGTCCTGCATCCCAGCAGAGCTGCGGGCAGGAACTTCACAGGCTGCTCCCCCCCTCCCCCCCCCCCCCCCCCCCCCCCCCTCCCCGGGACCATCCTCCTCCTCCACAGGCTGCCTCGCCCTCTCAGCTCCTCACCGGGACCATCCTCCTCCACAGGCTGCTCCTCCCCCCACCCCCTCAGCTCCTCACCAGGACCATCCTCCTCCACAGGCTGCTCAGGTGGCCCGCTGCCTCAGAAGGGTCCAAGGCCCAACAGCACAGTGCTGGGCAGCCACAGACAAAAGTCATGCCTCTTCCTAACCCAGTCCCCAGGGTCTGGCCATCTCACCCACCCTACTCTACGGCAAAACCACGACTTGTAGAGAGGTGGGGGCTATTAGGGTTTTTTGTATTATCTGCACACGTGTGAATGGATGCAGTGTACATACGTGCACCAGAGGCCATGGTTTGGTGTTTGTTTATACAGGGTCTCACTACATAGCTCTGACCGGCCCGTAACTTGCTATGTAAACCAGTCTGGCTTTGAACTCAGAGAGTCACCTGTCTGTTTCTGTGCTGGGATTAAAAGCCAGGATTACCATGCCTGGCTTTCTCACTGAACCAGTTTACTGATCAGCTGGAATGGCGGCCTCGTCCCCACCCTGTAGTGCTGGGATTACAGTTGCCTGTCACCACGCCCAGGCTTTTGTGTCCTGGCAATCCAAACTCACTTTAGAGTCCTCTTCCCAGGCCTGGTGGTGCATGCTTTTGATCCCCACACTAGGGAGGCAGAGGTTCAAGGCCAGCCTGGTCTACAGAATGAGTTCGAGGATGCCCAAACTCTGTCTCAAAAAACAAAGAAAAAATTAAAAAGTTACTTTTTGCAGCTACTCAATTTTCTGCTGAAATGGGTGTTGACTAGAAGACTGCTGGAGCGCAGGTTACATTCCAGAACCCTGTAACAGTCTTGTTTCTGAGATATGGAACACTCTGCAAACCCGCTTGTTGTCTAGGCCTAACTAAGAGCCACGTTGATCTCCACCCCTTCCAGCTTTAGGATGTGTGCTACTGCAGTGAGCGGCTGGGCTATGCAGTGAGCAGCTGGGCTATGCAGTGAGCAGCTGGGCTACTGCAGTGAGCAGCTGGGTTACTGCAGTGAGCAGCTGGGCTATGCAGTGAGCAGCTGGGTTACTGCAGTGAGCAGCTGGGCTATGCAGTGAGCAGCTGGGTTACTGCAGTGAGCAGCTGGGTTACTGCAGTGAGCAGCTGGGCTATGCAGTGAGTACCTGGGTTATGCAGTGAGGGGCTGGGTTACTGCAGTGAGCAGCTGGGCTACTGCAGTGAGTACCTGGGTTACTGCAGTGAGCGGCTGGGCTGTGCAGTGAGTGGCTGGGCTACTGCAGTGAGCGGCTGGGTTACTGCAGTGAGCAGCTGGGCTACTGCAGTGATGGGTTACTGCAGTGAGCAGCTGGGCTATGCAGTGAGCAGCTGGGTTACTGCAGTG